CATATGTGTGGATGCAAATTTCTTCCTTCTTGATCCTGGACAATTTTGCACCTACAAAACAATTAACACCTTAGGTTAAGGCCAAGAGCCTCACGCGCCCACGATGAATGGGGGGGTTTTGGCCGAAGAACCTCTGATGCCAAAGTTAGAATTTAGAGAGAAAGAGTGTTTAGAGAATTTTAGGATTTTTGCCAAAGTGTTTGAATTGGCTTTTTTGGTGAGAATGAGAGTATATTTATAGGGATAGGAGGTGGCTAGGTTTTTTTGGGTTTAATTTAGGTTTAATTAGGAGTTACAAAATTGATTATTTGTATAAATGGGGTAATAAAATGGAGAAAGGTGAAAAAGGTTAGGAAAAGGGAGGTGGCCGGCCTCTTAGTAGTTTTAGGTGTGAATGGGTGTTTTAATTGATAATTAAGGGATTGATTAGGTAATTAATCCCTTAATTAATCAATTTTTAGGGAATATGAAAGGAAAATATCATTTAGCTAATTGATTAGCTAAATAATGGAATACAAAATATATAGAATAAATTAGGTTTTAGGAATTACCTTATAGAAAGGATTTGATGAAATAGGCTTTAAATTGTTACCTATTTTGGGCACTTTTTATTGAGAGTTGTCCCACATTGGCGAGGGACAAGGTTTGCTATGTGCTTATATGATCTTGGGCTACTCCCCATATTGCCAATTGGTTTTATGGTGGAACCCCAATTTCATCATGGTATCAGAGCAAGGTTGTCCACGTGTGAAGCCCAATGGCTACACGCACTTCACGTCACCCAGTTGTTGTCCACGTGTAGGCTTGAAAATCCGCCACACGTGTAGGGGCGTGTTGAGAGTTGTTCCACATTGGCGAGGGACAAGGTTTGCTATGTGCTTATATGATCTTGGGCTACTCCCCATATTGCCAATTGGTTTTATGGTGGAACCCTAATTTCATCACTTTTGACTTGGTTTAGGGATGATTGTCTGCTGCTCGCGCGTAGGAATCCCAGTATGCCTCAAGGGTATTTTTGTCCTCTTTTACCCAAGAATTCACGTGTCGCCTTGTGATTATTTTTGGCTCCACAATATGATATCAATACTTTTTTAATCTGGCACCCTACGCGTTACTTACATAGGTGCGAAGATCGTGCATTATGCACTAGTTACAGATTTTTCAATCACGTGCGCCATGTAACATCCCAAATCGCCTAGGGGAGTGAATCCTATAAGCTTTATATGTATATTTTCATCTCTATTTAGCACGAGGCCTTTTGGGAGCTCACTGGCTTCGGATTCCGTAGGAACTCCAAAGTTAAGCGAGTTCGCGCGTGAGGAATCCCATGATGGGTGACCCACTAAGAAGTTCTCGTGTGAGTTTCCAAAAACAAAACCGTGAGGGTGTGGTCGGGGCTCAAAGCGGACAATATCGTGCTATGGCAGAGTCGAGCTAGGGATGTGGTGGGGGCCCGGGCCGAGATGTGACAATTTGATATCAGAGCCAATCCCTGGCCGGAAGTGTGACGACAAGGACGTCGTGTCCCTAAGGGGGGTGGATTGTAACATCTCACATCGCCCAGGGGAGTGGATCCTCTAAGCCTTATATGTATATTCTCATCTCTACCTAGCACGAGGCCTTTTGGGAGCTCACTGGCTTCAGATTCCATAGGAACTCCGAAATTAAGCGAGTTCGCGCGAGAGCAATCCCATGATGGGTGACCCACTGGGAAGTTCTCGTGTGAGTTCCCAGAAACAAAACTGTGAGGGCGTGGTCGGGAATCCAAAGCGGACAATATCGTGCTACAATGGAGTCGAGCTTGAAATGTGGTAAGGGCCCGAGGCGGGATGTGACACGTCAGGTGTAACTTACAAAATTTCTATTTCTATTTTAAATAATTTTGTTTGATATTGCTAGGATTGAAGAAAAAGCATAAACAATTTGATAGGCATAAAATTAGAAAGATAATTGAAGACCAATGCGTTCCACAATTATTGTATATTGTAGTCAATAGTTCTTATCATGTAGAACATGCACATAAACTTTTTATCTTTATCATGGCACACTACGGCATGACATTACCTTCTTCACATTTGACGAAATACAAAGGGAGACTTTGGATTCGGTCCCTATCCACCAACATTCTTTGACTAAAACTTTAATGGTATTCAATTTTTTATCAATGTCCCTTGACTTTATACACCTCATTATTGCTGTTAATATATATTTCCATATGTTTGATATTAATTACTTGACATGTTATGGGATTTAAAATCCCATATTATATGGCATATAAATTAAAAATATAAAAAAGAAAATACTCAAAAAATTTGATTGAATAAATAGATAAAAACATGTAACTATATAACTTTGAAATAATAAATGTCAAACGAATGTACCCATAGTGTTCAAAAAAATTGAAAAAGGGTACATTTTATTATAAATATGTATACATTATAAATAAAAAATAAATAGATTCTACATTAAAAAATGGGTACATTTTACATTAAAAAAATGGTGCATTTACAAAAAAAAAAGTTGGTACATTTTACATATAACGAAGTCGTACATTTATAAAGAAAATTGGGTACATTATAAATAAATTATGAGTATAAATAAAAATTTAGAAAATGTGGGCACAAAATGAAATTAATATATGTCACATCCCGTCTCGGGCCCCCACCACATCCCGGGCTCAACTCCACCGTAGCACGATATTGTCCGCTTTGGGCCCCAACCACGCCCTCACAGTTTTGTTTCTGGGAATTCACATGAGAACTTCCTAGTGGGTCACCCATTATGGGATTGCTCTCGCGTGAACTTGCTTAACTTCGGAGTTCCGACCGAACCCGAAGTCCGTGAGCTCTCAAAAGGCCTCATGTTGGATAGAGATGAGAATATACATATAAGGCTTACAAGATCCACTCCCTTGGGCGATGTGGGATGTGACAATCCACCCCCCTTAGGGGCCTAACGTCCTCGTCGGCACACTTCCGGTCAGGGATTGACTCTTATGCCAAATTATCACATCCCCGCCTGGGTCCCCACTACATCCCTGGCTCGACTCCATCATAGCACGATATTGTCCGCTTTGGGCCCTGACCACGCCCTCACGGTTTTGTTTATGGGAACTCACATGAGAACTTCTCAGTGGGTCACCTATCATGGGATTGCTCTCGCGGGAACTCGCTTAACTTCGGAGTTATGACGAAACCCGAAGCTATTGAGCTCCCAAAAGGCTTCGTGTTGGGTAAAGATGAGAATATACATATAAGGCTTACAAGATCCACTCACTTGGGCGATGTGGGATGTTACAATATATGGGTACAAATTAAAACTAAAAAGAAAATTGGTACAAATTAAAAAAGGGTTGCCAGTTAAAAACAAAAAATAGAAATATATGATACAAAGTTTAATCATAAATATAAATATACCAAATGTAATGTTTCTAACACTATATTTTAGAAATAAAATTTAATTATGTTGATATGTAAATAATTTATAACTGAAATAATGACATTCATTAAAAGCTAGAGACCTTGATAAAAAATGAAAAAGAAATAAGATTTTAATCAATGCAATAGAAGAAATAAGGATGATAACTTAATTTCTCCTAATATAATTTATACTAGGGTTCACACCCAAAGACCAAGTCTTTGTTCTATTTTCTTCAGATTCTGGTATTTGTAGATAATATTGCTAATTAATTAAGGATTAAGAGATAATCATTACAGGCTGCTCCAGTGGTTGAGGACAAATTTCAGGCCCGTATTCCCCACGACATGTCTTTGGTTCGATTCTTATTGCTAGTGAATCGCACGATGGTGGTCAAGGGGAGGCTAACATACTTATGTGAGTCTTTTCGGCCCCTAAAAGAGTAAATTATCGAGGCAAAGTCCCCAACTGGTCCCTTTGGTACCGTTTGGTACGCAGACGGGACGGAACATGACGGAATAGATGATGTAAATATTGAAAAAAATAAGAAGAAATTTTGTCATAAAATGTTATAAATTTGTGTTCCACGGATGTGGAACGGGTCGTTCCAGGGGGAAGAGGTGGAACGAAAAATCAGCCAAATTTCGTCCCATAGGACAACCCGTTCCACAATTTTTAGGCGCACCAAACGTGGGACGGAACGGCTCGTCCCGTCCCACGTACCAAACGGTACCAATTGAAAAGAAAAAAAAGGAGATTACTTAAAGATGATGCCCCCGCTAACTTTAGAGTTGAAAAAGGCCATCTATTTCTAAAGTAAACCCCTTTTAAATTTAAAGGTTATTGTCTATTGATCGCTTGTTGACAAAACAGTAAAAATTTACTATTGCTTTGTTTTATTTTTATTTTTATTTAATACCAGTATTTGCCTACACATTTTGTGTGTATAGACATATTTTTTTAGAAAATTAGAATGAGAGAGGGGGAGAGAGAGAAGGTGGGGGGAGTGGAAGGTTTTTTTTTTTTTTTTCTAATATTGGAGGTATTTTAACATCATCTGTAGGTGAGGCTTTAATAAAAAGCAGTAAAATTTGGACCTGTAAAATTACATTATTGCCATCATTTTTTTTATTGTGTCATAAAAGACTAATTTATCTTTTCACCCTCTTTTAGTCTTTTAGTTGACAAAGAATATTTTATTAATTAATAGAGATTATTAATAATTCCAATCATCAGTGAAATTGCGTGAATTGGTGACGAAGTAAATTAAGGAAAAACTCCACTCAATCATTGATGGCCCAAGTTAATTTCTTGTAATTTTGCACAAAATGATTAAAATATTTTTTTTTTAAATGGAAAGGCAAGCTGTTGCTGATGGAGAAAGGTGGTGCCGACTCCGAGCACGTGAGTGAAAAAAAAAAGCGGTGTAAAATTCAGAAAAAACGAAGAAAGAGTTTTAAAAGAAAAAACTGCACACGGAAAATAAACGGTGGCAGCAGCAGAGCAATTTTTAAAACCACGTTTAAAATACGTATACTATTATGGTTTAAAGTGTAAGGTATATATAAAGCCATATATTCATATCATTCTCCAGAACTCACAATTCATCTTCAATTCTCTTGGATCTTCATTCTTCATCCTTCTTCAGTCTCTGGGTTTTTTGATAATTTTGAGTCTAAACCCTAAACCAACATGAGGAGGAACTGCAATTTGGAGCTTCAGTTATATTCTCCAGGTTCTAATGAAACCCAGCAACAAGAACACCAGCAGCAGCAGCTGACCATATTTTACAACGGAATGATGTGCGTTCGAGATGTTACAGAGCTTCAGGTATGTCATGAGTTTGTTTAATTCTTTGTTTCTTATTCTGTAACCTAAAAACACAAGAAGATCAGTTTCGTGCATTTAGATTTCTCTGGTTAAGTTTCAATTTTATTCAACAACTGTCGTTCATAATCTAGGAGTTTATTGCAAATGAAATATAGATAGATCAAAGTAGGTTTAGAATTGCAGAGATAAAAGTGCTGTAGTGAGCTGTGTCTGTACTCTGTAGTGTCATGGCCCATGCCAGTGTTGACTCTCCATTTCCCAGAAAACAGTTCATGATTTGAATTATGTAATTTTTACAAACACTTTGATTTCGTTCCATGCCTTTGGTCACAAATTTTCACATTTTTATTTAAAGATGCATTCCGCCCTCCCCCATTAGTACAAATAAAGAACAGAACTATATGTTTGACCTAATTAATCCAAATATGATTTAAAAGTTCTAAGACCGCACATGACACATGCTTGTTTTTCCAAATATATATAACCATTTTGTTCCACGTTCTCCTTTTAATGTTTAAGATGGTTTACCAACCCTAATAACTATTAGTCATATTATAATGAAATAATTATCCTCTAATAAATTATTAAATTGATTTGTTGGGATTTTGCAGGCCAGATCCATCCTTTTTCTTGCGAACAAAGGAATGGAAGAAAGGGTAAAGAGTCCATTTACTCCTCCAAGTGGATTATCAGAACCACCTTCACCAAATGTGGTGTCTCCGCTGTGTAGCACCGTTGCTGGTGTGTCTATGAAGAGATCACTCCAAAGGTTTTTGCAGAAGAGAAAGCATCGGACTCAAGCAACATCTCCATACCATCGCTAGGAATTAAGGCACTTGAATTTATTATTTGTGGCCAATTAATTAATTTGATTGGTATTTTTCTTTTCGGTTAGAGGGTGATCGATCGATCGAGGTGAGCTTTTTGTAAATTAGTTAATTCTAAGCGCTTCAAATCATCGTGTGGGAGAGACATATCATATATTCATTTATATCCATTGTTTGATTGATTTTAGATCTATTGGATTTCAATTTCCAGATATTACACTCGTAATTTCTAAATTGCACCAATTTAACCTCTTCACCAATTTCACTATCTAATTAGAGTTAAGTGTTGACGTGTCATAGTATGTGTCACATTTGAAGCACAATTTAAAGAGACTCTAAAATTGACAGAGAGGTTAAATTGGTTCAATTCAAAAATCACTTGGTCAATATTTGGAATCTGAAATTTTGTGGCTTATTTATAAATGATCCCAAATCATGTGGTGTAAAATACAGTTTAATTCAAAAAATAAGAAAAGAAAGAAAAAACCAAGTTTAAGAATCATGATACGCGTGTTTAAATGAAAAGGGAATCTTTTTCGCCGCTAAACACTATCTTGGTGTAAAAAGTGCGTGCGATTCGTGTCAGGAGCGTTTCTAGTCACATTTATGTGGGGACCTTCTTATTCGACATGCATATGACAGTTTCATATATAAAGCCATAGCATCATTCTAAAACCCACTCCAAATCTTCGTTTGTTCTCTCTTCAATCTTCATCATCATCCTTCAGTCTCTTGGTTTTTCTTGGTTTTTTGATAATTTGAGTTCCAAACCCTAAATTACCATGAGAAACAGCAATCTGGAGCTTCATCATCCTTCTGCTGATTCACGCTTCCCTAACCCTAATGAAACCCAGCAACAAGAACAACAGCAGCGGCTGACCATTTTCTACAACGGAATGGTGTGCGTTTGTGATGTTACAGAGCTTCAGGTACGTCGTGTGTTTGTTTATTAAGTACTCTACTTTTTCTTAGATTCTTAATTATTATGGCTCGTTGCTCGTATAAAGATTTCTCCGTTTAACTTCTTTTTATATTCAACTGTTGTTCGTAGATTTGAACTCATTGTAAAGTTTTGAGGGAAAATTAGCATCTCTGTACAAGTTTAAGGGCAAATCAACTAATACCTCTAACCCTAATCTGAAAGCCTATAAAGAAAATCCTAATATGAAATGAATAGTTACACCACACATGACACATGCTTGTTTTTCCGAATATATATAACATTCCAATTTGATCCACGTTCTCCTTCTTTTGAAGTTTAAGAGAATCTACCAACCAAATGGATATTAATCATATAAAGAAATAATTACTAATAAATTATTAAATTCATTTGTTGGGGTTTTGCAGGCCAGATCCATCCTTTTTCTTGCAAACAAAGAAATGGAGGAAGGGGTGAATAGTCTCTTTACTCCTCCAAGTGGATCAGCAGAACCACCTTCACCAAATGTGATGTCTCCACTGTGTAGCCCCGTTGCTGGTATGTCCATGAAGAAATCACTCCAAAGGTTTTTGCAGAAGAGAAAGCATCGGACTCAAGCAACATCTCCATACCATCACTAGGAATGGCACTAGAATGTATTATTTATGGCCACTTAATTAATCTGATTGGTATTTTTTTGAATTAATCTGATTGGTATTTTTTTGTTTTTGCTTAGAGGTTGATCATCGATTCATGAGAGCTTTTTGTAAATTGGTTCATTTTAAGCACTTCAAATCATCATGTGGGAGACATCATATGTTGGTTGTTTTTTGTTGATTTAGGTCTTTGTTGCCATATGGTGTTATTTTGCTATCGAATTATGACATGACTTTTTTGTTCTTTTGTTGATGCGGGAGAGAAGATTACCTACATTATGGCAAATAAACCTTTTTTCGTTGATACAAATAAATCAACTATTGGAGTACATGTTTTGAAAAATTCAAAAGCTATACCAATTTCAAATGGTTCACTAATTTCGCTGGACGATAACCAAATAAGAAAATAAGCACAATTAACATGTTTTTATATAAAGGCCTTGACGTAAGTACTAAGTAGTAATGTAACGATGAATATAAGTTAGATTTTATTTTGTCACCCCTAACTACACTGACATTGTTCCAACTTAACCACTTATTACTAGCTAGGTGTTGAATTTTATCACAAAATAGTTCGGTGTTAATAAGAATGAAGTCATACACTTATATATAGTATTTTATTTTCTCAAATTCCCGACGTGAAACTTATATTCTACAGATTTTTGTGTGGAGACTTTACACCCTCCAACGCTTTTTTTAACAATCAAAGATAGATGTTGCATATATGTAGTTGTAATTTGACCTATCGTCTTGAACAAGATCATGTCAATTTTGGCCTAACATTGAAAAATCTTTCCTAATAAGCTAAATGAAAAAAAAATGGTCAAATGGTATTGGAGCTAAAGAAAAGATGGAAATGGGTGTCTTTCGCACGAAATTGCTTGGGTAGTTTCCTGGCAGTTTTTGTTAAGTTACATGGTAATGGGGATTCTTAGCTTCCTACCACCAGCATTCAAATAAGGGATTCTTACTATATGTCTCTCCTTTTTTACTTATAATATCATCACGGCAAAAAGAAGAGGAAAGTAGACGAACTTACATGCAACTCAAATGTTAATGACGGGATATTTCATGTTAATGACGGGAAATCTCAAATCAACCATGCAATGTCATGCGGAAGCAAAGAACTGAAACTAATCACACGGTGTCATGTGGAAGCAGAGAAATAAAACACATGACCAAGCATGATAGATTCGGTTCAGGAGCAGAATTTAAACCAATTAATATTGGCTTGAAGATAACCAAGTAGAAGCTCCTTATTGACTACCATTTGATCCCCAATACAGACGTTGAGTTCTCAGATATATTTTTCTGAAAGAATACAGAAGTTTGAGTTCTCAAATATTATTTTCCTAAACGTTCAAGACAGGAAACTTTTAGTAGTTCATCGTATCAATCCGCGAAAAAGAATCGCAGCCTTCTTATAATCTAGGTGCAACACGAGGACGATCCCATTCAGTTACAATGTGGTTGCGTGTGATCTCCTTCAGCGAACGGCAACCACTTAATGCCATGGTTAGCTCAAATTCGTCACGAAGCATTTGAAGAACTTTCCTTACACCAGCCTCGCCATCTGCCGCTAATGAGAACACCACCGGTCTACCTATCTGAAATTTGAACATAGGGAATACAAAAACAAAATGAATAAATACTTATAAGCAAAATTGAGGTTCTTAAGTATCAGATTAGAGCTTGTAGGTTAAGGGCATTGTTTTAGATTCGTTGCTTTAATATAAACAGATATTAAAGGCTGAAGGCAACTGAATGAATTACAGTTGCAGTGTCTTATTTAGTGTCAAGTAACATAAGCTTTACTCACAAATACGCCGGATGCACCAAGAGCCAGAGCTTTAAAAACATCTGTTCCTCGCCTTACTCCACCATCCATAAACACAGGAATTTGGCCTTGTGCAGCTTTGACGACCTATAAGCCGTTACAACAAAACCATAATTTCAGAAAATTACAAGTTACAGCTCTATACACCAAAGAAAGTGACTTGGAATTTAGAATGACTAAAGTTTCAAGAAGATGAACTGTTGAAGAGAATACTCAACAATTTTAGAACACTCGGAAGCATTTAACAAATTGAAAAAAGCAGAATATATGAAGCAAATGTACCTCTTCCAGAGCCATAATAGTTGCAGGGAGATAATCAAGTTGACGAGCTCCATGGTTGGAGACGATAATTCCTGCAGCTCCATATTGTATGGCTAGTCGTGCTACAGTTTTCAGCACATATAAAATTAATTTGTCATAAACTTTCAATAATAGACCAAGCTGGGGAGTTGGATTTCTATTGGAATGCGGAGTAAGGGATATGGTTGCTTACCATCCTCAGCAGTAATTACACCCTTAACAAGAATTGGTAATTTGGTGATTGTCTGAAGCCACTGTATATCCTGTGAATGTGGCGAAGAAAACCGTGTGAAATCTTACTTCAGATTTATTGTTTGAATAATCATATATTGAAGCAACCATCTTACCTTCCAGCTGAGAGACTGGTCAGTTTGTCGAGCAACATATGATGCAAGTCCAGAATCATTGGTCTAAAATTTGACCACCAAAAAATTAAGAAATGTATGCGTTAAAATGAAGTTACCTGTATTTGTCTGATATTGAAAGTCTTATAGGTTAGTCACCCACCTTATCCATCTTTCCGAGAACCAAATCCTCAAAGTTCTTCAATGTTAAGTTTGGTGGCAATACAAATCTGTTGAAGACCTTAAATGAGATTTCAATTCGCAATGAAACAACCTAAATGTTTCTAGTAACTATCTTTCTTAGTTTTACAAATACCATTCTTGAATCAATGCCCACCTGTTCTTAATATCAGCCTCTCGGCGTCCAAGCCTCGGAGTGTCCACAGTAAGAACTATTGCCTTAAAACCGGCCCTCTCAGCTCTTTTTACAAGCTGTGCAACCATATTTCTGTCTTTGTACACCTAAAAAGAAGCACATCAATCACTGATAAGATTAACAACACATGACAAATGAGAACCTTGAAAGTAAATATTTGTTTCAGGCCTTAATTAACTTCTATATAGCGAATTTGAGACAGAGGTCACTTAATTGGAGGACAAAGAACTCTCTTAAACTTTTAAAGTCACCTTGAAATTATTAGGAAGTCTGTTTGAGGAACAAGTTTAGTTTGTTAAATTGTAACCAAGCTTTCAACAAAAACGTTACGTGAATGAAATTTCTTCCTGAAATAAATTTCTCTCAGCACTAGAGCTTATCTAACACCGCATGTTAAATGAGTGAATTTAGCCAAATAGAAAATAAAAGAATAAGAAAGAAAGTTGCAGAAAAAAATAGAGGGATAAATTTTAAACTCACATAGAGTTGGAAAAAGCGAATGCCAGGTCCTGTTGAGGCAACCTCTTCGACACTGGAAGTGGACCAAGACGACAGTGTCTACAACAACCAAAATTGCATACATAAGTTGAAATTGTTGATACAATCTAATATTAAAGAAACTGTTATAGGAAAACAGAATTCAGTTTTAGAAAAATAACTGGATGGTTCTAAGCCATACCATAATTGTGTCAGCTGCAGACGCTGCTCTTGCCGTTGCAAACTCTCCTGATTGAGAATTACAAATTAAATTTAACCAATCTCTGCTTAATAAGAAAAACTTGACAAAGAGAAACTTTAACGAGCTTTGAGCCGATTCAACAACTGAAAGATATTGATGGTAATTCCAATTGCTGTTTGAATTATAAATGTTGCAACGTATATAGTTGCATGTCACAGAAGAGTACCCTTTTACAAAAGGGGTTTATACCTTCAGGATGAGCCATCTTCTGCATGGCTGTAGGCGCAATCATAATTGGCATCGAAATATTGAAGCCCAAAACAGTTGTTCTCAAGTCTATCTTGCTTACATCTACAAGAATACGAGGTCGAAATCTGAAAAGAAATACACAAGTTCAGTAAATAGCTTCAGTTGAAAATTTTCTTATGATGAATGAAATCTAACCTGAAAAAATCAAAAAACAAAAAGAACTACTTTTGAGATGATTGGCCAAACCCAAAAGCAAGATAAGGCTTACAAAATCCGCGAAAATGCACGTTTGTTCTCCTTGAGAGTCCATTCATCTTCTGCACCTGATGCATAGTAGTCATAAACCATCTTTGGCAGTTTCTCCTTCGCAATTGCTTCATACTCAGAAACATTGGTTATCTCCATCTCTGCAATTTGTTTATGCTATCTCCGCAGTATTAGTGAATGAAAATCACTTGAATATCATGTTATGTCGGATTCTTTCGAATTCAGAGAATCAAGTAATTGACCAAAAAAGTAATCCTAATTTTGAAGTTATAGAAACTATGAACCAACAAAAGCAACCTAGTAAAGGAGACTAAGAAAAAAAAAACCCTGCATAATTGGGCTTTGAGTTATCAACTCTCGGATGGATCGTCATTCCTTATTTCCCTTAAACCCAAAACCCGCACTAGTCCAGCCGGAAACCGGTGGCTTCCAAGTTTCCAAGTCTCGAAATTTTAACGGCAGGGTTTGATCCCCAGTTTCAATACATTCTGGGGACATCTTAAATTGGAGAGGAACTTACATGCAACGGGAAGCCAAGGTGACGGTATCCCAAGCATTTACAATAACAGATGTAAAGCAGTAGGGCTATGAACGATCAAACTCATAAGCTATGACTAGCGATCCATATCCTGAGACTAGACTGATGGGGCTTGTTATGTTCATTAAACTTCTGATGAGTCTAAAAAAAATCAGGATTAAGCTTGAACAAATCTAACAATAACCCAACAATCCAAAGACAATATCGATTCAAAAAATCAAACTTTGTTGCACTCATGTCTCAAATTCTACTGTATCACTTCAGAAGAAAAAAAAATCAAACACATGATTGGCAAAAAAGAAAGAAAAACATTGATTTCGATACAACAATCAGAAAAGATTTCATTTTCAATACATCATACATGATTTTGATCAAAACCCAAGTCGAAATTCAACCAAATAATCTAAACAGATCATCAAAGAGTGCAAAGAACACACCTTTTTTTATTGCAGGAACAAAGAGGAGCTGCAGAAGAGGGTGCCTAAAGAGAAAAGAGAGAAAAATGAACACTCAAGGTCCCACTTGGATACTTATATACAATTTTTCAGCTAACAAACAGAGTGACAGGAGTGATTCGAGAAAAAATCATTAAACAATGATGGGGAAGGGGTGAAGACAAAAGAGGTAAGCATCCAGATAAGAAAATAAAGAAACGTGAGTGGATTTGGTTTCTCAAGGCGAGAGCAATTGTCAAATCTATCATTCCTCCATGCTCATCCCATTTAATGTCTTAATAAATCCTGGGTTAATAATCAACGACACCCCCGACACCCTCTTATCTTAATAAGGGGTGTCAACTGTATAATTTTAAAACGTTACTGTGTTTATTTTGCGTCAAGTGTTTAATTGTGTGCCTAAGTCATGTTTTGGTTGGTTTTTCGCCCGTAAATTGCATTTTAAGCAATTTCCGTTGATTTAAATTAAGCGAACTTGATTCTCTATTTTATGCAAATTTTGATCACAATGTAATATAAATAAATTTTCAGCGTAACGATGTGATTAGTAACTAAAAAGAATTTTACTTTACAAAATTAAGGGGTGGAGAAGTACATTGGCAAATTATTATTTTTTGGATGTGGGATTAAACATGTCTAATAATATTATTATTCCTTAATTAAAAGAAAAGTATTGCTAATTAGGATGATGATTGTGCAGCTGTACTATCAGAATTTGAGATTGCATTGATTTCATTGATGATCATTCTAATTACCATTAATTTTCTTCTTCTTTTGTGGGCCCACATTAGGTTCATGTACTGAACTATTTTTGTTCCCTTTTTTCCACTTGTTCTTATTAATTTCTTTGATGCATGTATGAGAAACAAGGAGCTGCATAAGGAAGGGAATATATCTGCAGCTTTTGGACAATTTTAAACATTTGGATTTTGGATTTGGATGTTTAATCAAAATTTATCAAAAGAAAAGGGAAGCCTTTCTTAATTGCTTATAATTTTCAGATTCAGGCCCAACTGCATTACAAAGTTCCACTATTTTGCGTATCTCTCTCTCCTTTTTTTTATTTTATATTTCCTCTTCTCCCACGATTAAGTAACGTCAACATCTTATATTAATTTTTTTTTATAGAAAAAGAAGAATAAAATAAAAAATGTGAAAGAAGGGTATGAAAGAGTATGAAAAGAAGAAGACAGAGAATCCTCATCCCGTTAAATAATCAAGGCATCTCTTTGCTTCCTTAGCAAACGCCTGCAGCATATACAGATTATAGGCAGCTCTCAGTGGTGAGACCTGAGACTAGACAAAGTTGACAAACACTCATCGGCATTTCTTCTTTTCTCTCGGACACTTTTATCAATGAGCTAATTCAAATCAAAACAAGTTCATCAAGTTGCCTTAAAATTGAACAAAAACGAAGTGGGTTTTTACAACAAGAGGCACAAGAAACACACAACAAAACCAAAAGAAACCATCTTTGCATTTGAATTCGATGGAGAACCGGAACTATTGTTCTCAACAGGGTACTGACCAAATGGCTTCATTCTCTCGGACACTTTTGGTTCTTTGTCTTCACCGGCCAAGGCCGTGTCATTTGTTGCTCCACTTGCATTCAAACAAACAGGGGCACTTATCAGATTTGCAGAGATGCCCTTCTTCTTATTGTACAATGGATTGCACACAGACCATTATTTCCTCTCACATCCAACCTCTTCCCAAGCCTCCCAATGAAATCCTCTGGAAGTGACAGGGCCCCACTCAGCTGGTTGTTGCTCAGATTCAGCTGATCCAATTTTGGGAGTGTCCCTAAACTTGTAGGGACTGTCCCATTGAGACTGTTGTTGTCTAGAGAGAGGGAACTGAGATTTTTCAAGGAAGATAGGGAGTTGGGTAATTTGCCAATCAACCCACATCCTGAAAAGCTCAGAGATATGAGATTCTTAAGTTTCCCTACAAACTGAGGAATTTCTGAATTGATTGGGTTTTTATCAGCTACCCAATACTCTAAATTCTCCAAACCTGAAAGGGTTTCTGGGATTGGCCCATTGATCAAGTTATGACTCAGATCAAACAACACCAACCTCTTGAGCTGCCCTACATTTGGAGGGATCAATCCTCTGAGCATGTTGCAGCTCATATCAATCTTTTGGAGGACTTGAAGCTGCCCTACAGAGCTAGGCACCTGACCTTCTAGAACATTCCAGCTCAAATCCAAGATTGTCAAACTCCCCAACCCTCCAATTTCCTGTGGGAGTTCACCACTTAGGTTGTTGTAGCTTAGGTCAAGCTGCTCTAGTCTCACCAGCCCACCAATTTCACTAGGGATGTTTCCTAGTAGGTTGTTCTGTGAGAGGCTGAGGACCCTTAAGTTTGTAATTTTTGACAATTCTGGGGGGATTTCTCCTGAGAGAGCTGGATTGGAAACAAGGGCTAGGGTTTCCAAGGAAGACAATGCACCAAATAGTGATGGAGAGAGAGTGACCGGTGTAGTTAAAAAGCAATTGAAAATTGAGAGGGTTTTCAAGTAGGGTAATTTGAGGAGGGAACTTGAAAGGGAAGCAGAGGATTTGCAAGGAGGGCTGAGAAAATCAGGGCCAATGTGAATCTTTGTGACATGAAAACTTGGAGGATTTTCATCACCAATTTCACATTGAATACCAGGCCATGGAGTCTCATCACAGGGCTGTGGGTGCTCTTGGGCCCAGCTGGGGTCCTCCAGAAGGCCACCCAAAACTTCAAAAAGTCCCAAAAGCTCCTCCTTTTCCATAATCCCATCTGAGTTTTGCTGCCCTGAAATCAACCCCCCTCCCAAAACAAGAAACACAACAAGGAAAAGAGGCAAAGAAGCCATGAAAGTTCAGAGGAGAGCAATTGGAAGTAAATAAGAAAACCCACAAGTGAAAAATGAAGAAAAACAGAGGAAAATGTGGCTTTTTAATTAGAACAAAAAAGTACTGGCTAAAGGTTTTTCCTTTGCTTTATATTTCACTGTTTCTCAAATTGCATCGATGACAAAAAGGATACAGAAAGTAAAGAAAATACTTCCCAAATATTTATCAAAATTCAAAATCATGATCTTTAGTGGCAGGACTTGCAGAGGCCTGCTGGGAAATAAAAAAAAAAGTTGTCAGCTTTGCTTCCCACATTGTGCAAGTTTGAGGCTGACAGTGTTGGTTTTTGCATGGAAAAGTGAGAGTGCGATGGGCGAAGGCAAAACAGTCACTAGAAGTAGAAGAAGATGTCAGAAGAGTTGATGAATCTCAAAAGAAGAATTGTAATTACACGATGGGACTTAAGCTCTTTCTTTCTATAATCTGTCTATCCATCTCAGTAGGAAGCCGACAGATCAAGGGCTCTGATGCTTTTGCAGGTGACTGGTCTCCCTCTCTCCTTTTGATACGATTGGGAATCCATGCGTGGGAATCGATTTGTGTGTGTTGGACAAGAATTGTTGTTCTAGGAAAGATTCTAGTTAGTGATTAATGTTAGGAGTACTGTAGGTTCACAGAGTTACCAAAGGTGCACAGCACCAGATTAATTCTTGTCTGTATGGATTAGTTAGAGGAATGCTAAAATAGTTAGCTTTGGTATTTATGTATAAATACTTCATGTACAGAGATATGAATAGATACTGAAAATCATTTTCTCAATTCTCTTTCTCTCTCTACATTCTCTCTCTCTTTCTCTAATCTCTCTTTCTCCAAGATTCAGTTTTCTTATTCACTAAGATCTTACTTTCTACATGGTATCAGAGCACAGTGGCTCGGTCATCCACTGAGGCTGAGTACAGGTCACTTGCCAACACTGCTGCAGAAATTTCGTGGGTTTGCAAGATACTCTTTGATCTTTCATTTCCCCTTCTTCGTACACCTGTTATATTCTGTGATAACAAGAGTGCTATTGCACTAGCTTTCAACCCCGTCTTTCATGCTCGTACAAAGCATGTTGAGCTTGACTATCATTTTATCCGTGAGAAAGTTCTTTTGGGTCAGATTGATGTTCAACATGTTAATACATTGTCCCAGATTGCTGACATTTTTACTAAGTCTCTTCCTGCCGATCGGTTTCTCTCCCTGACTGCCAAGCTTTCAGTTCGACCCTCTACCTTCAGCTTGCGGGGGTGTGTTAGGAGTACTGTAGGTTCACAGAGTTACCAAAGGTGCACAGCACCAGATTAATTCTTGTCTGTATGGGTTAGTTAGAGGAATGCTAAAATAGTTAGCTTTGGTATTTATGTATAAATACTTCATGTACAGAGATATGAATAGATACTGAAAATCATTTTCTCAATTCTCTTTCTCTCTCTACATTCTCTCTCTCTTTCTCTAATCTCTCTTTCTCCAAGATTCAGTTTTCTTATTCACTAAGATCTTACTTTCTACAATTAATTGTGTATGTTTGCTGAATAAGACACTTAAATACCGATTGGTACTCGATAATTGCCCGAAAATGTTACGAATCTACTAAGTACATTAGACTTTTAGAGTATCTCTAATGGGATCTTAAATGGAGTTTTTGCAATTGTACAACCTTTAAATATAGACAGAAAAGGTTTTCAATAGGTCGGAATATAAATTCTCAAAGTATCTCAATATATAGGGATTCACCCGATACCTTAAAGAGATCCTCAAACGTTAGGATTGTATATAACTTATAAGGACTCAAAGAATTGGCTCATTGTTGATTTTGAGTGAGGAACAATCTCACCCACGTGAGAATGCCTTCTCTTTTTGGGAATGCTACACAATAACTTCTTTTTATCTTTTCTTCTTTTTCTTTGAACTTTCTCTTCTAAAGGTAGAGATAGCTTTTCGATTTTTATCAACAGCCACAATACTCCAACAGAATAAACAATAAGTTTAGTATTTTAATCCCTACATTTAGGGACTATACTATAAGGACCTCCTATTGCAGACAATATTCCTTTAGAGACCCGAATAATCCCTTAGAGTCTCTAAATGAGTCTTTAAAATTGGTGGTGGAAGTCCCTCCCATTGTAAATGCTCTAAGATGCACAAAACTCCTAGTCCACCAAAGTAAATTGGTTAGTTAAAATTCATATACTAGTATAAAGAATATACAGATTTAAGTCTTTCAAATGGTAATGGTGGGGTATTGGCTGAGTGCACTTCAATAATCGAATAAGAGTAATGTTTTCGTCTTAGTTTTAGGATACAATAAGTATAGAAGTCCAATAAACCTACATTAAAAAAGGGTCAAATATCGAATTCACATAGATACGCAAGTGAGCTACGAAGAAAATATACAAGAAATGGAACACAACTAGCTAGGGTCATGGGAACACCTGACCCCGCGAGGCAAATTGAAGGTTAAGAGTTTAATTTGCTTTAATGTAACCCAAAAGAACACAAAATTAAACGATAAAAACGTACATCCAGACATTCGTTTGAACAAATTGTCATTTTCGGATTCGCATCAAAGCTAATATGTTGATTTCATATTTAGAAGTACTACTCTTACTAAGGCTGACATTTTCTGAATCCAATTACCGAAATCGAACCGAGAATGACCAAGCTGAAATTTACCGAAACTGAAAAGTACCAAAGTTTTCGGTTCAGTTTTCATCAACAAAACTGGTAGGTTTGGTTTCACCAAAACCAAAAACCGAATAAAAGCATGTTTGTTATTTTTGTTTAATATTTTAGTCAACAGAAATTTCGGTTCGAATTTTAATTTGACATTTTCAATTTGGTTACCAAACATACCACAATCCTAAACGCTTGATTCTTTTTTTACGTACCGACCATCACACCATCATTATTCTTCCTTTGTCTTTCATTTTTTATGGACAACCAAATTCATATTTCACGTGAGTCTACTGAATTAGCAGACCATTGGTATTCGTGCAATTGGTGATTTATTCCTTTCTCTCTCTCCCTCTCACACTAGGTGACCCTGTGAGAGACATAGCAGGGCATATGAAAGCAAAAGTGATCCTTGTGCTGTTATATGTATGTAGAAAATTTTAGGTCCGTCCTTTTGGAACACATAGCCATCTGTTAACACACGCAAAACCTCATATATTTTGGTCAACAGCTAGTCACAAGAATCTCTCCTAATAACGTCATTTTGGTGACACGGTATAGACTTTAGGGTCTAGCTCAACTCAATAGGCAGGTTAAACCTAGAAGATGTGCGTACACGTTTATACAAAGGGGAAAGCTAAGGACTGTCAAGTGTTGATGTGTTTAGAACTTGAAAAATGCTAGAAATGTTGCTTGAAGACAAGTAACTCATGCCGGTGGGTTATGTACATGTATATATTGACATTGTATTTGGAATTGGGAAAGGTATTTTGGTGAAATATTTGAAGCTTGAGAATAGTTAATCAGCCAAACAGATTTCTCAGTCATCAGTTGTCACAGCCAAAGATCCGAAACGAAAGATTGACTAATCGACCAAGCAAATTTTTATTAAATCTTTTGTTGCCAAAGTTTCAAGTTAGGAAAGCATGAAGTAGAAATACGAGTTAGTTGTGCAATCGCCTACGGAAACAAGAATATGGATACAAAGTATTTGGTAAAAACACAAAGGGTAGTAAAGAAAAAGAGTAGAATTAGCTTAAACAACCTGGGGCATGACATCGATCGCCAATTTCTTAAAACTCCATCAGTGTCAATCTCTTTAAAACTCAATGCACCCTACATATATAAAACTCCATCGATGTCATATAAAAACTCCTTCAACATCGATTAGTTATTGATCCTAAAGATCTTTATTATCAATTTAGGTAGCCGATTATTAGGTTTAATCTAGAGATAATTAAATATAAGACCAATATGTAGCCAATTATTAGGTTAATCCTAAAGATCTTAATTATCAATTTAGGTCTATTAACTTTTAATCCAACTAAGCAACATTTCTATTTTGTGACGATGAGTCCGCCTAATTTTAAGAGTATATTTTTGAAATAAATGGTTCAACATACCGTTATCTGATTTAATGACCTGCTTTGTTGCTGCAGTTACTTGTTATATATGGCCTTTTGAGTTTCACGTTGATTGCTTTCGTTCTGGTTCTTCTCAACTTTCCATCAAGTAATCATATACCTTTGCATCAAATATTATACACGCATTACATTGACATTACAAATTAGAACTTACACCATTTTTGTTACGCCGTTCTAGTGCTCGGAGCAATCATTTCAGCTACAAAGGCATTAGTCGACTGATAACTCCTCATGAAGAGTCCAGTACTTGATGGCTCACTATCTCATCAGGTTCACTTGAACGTTGAACCTACGTATCAGATTCATTCATCTGATATACCAAACCAGAAGCCTAGTTTCACTAATAAGAGAAATATACAAAAGGTCTATATGATCAGTGATTAACAGACGAATCTATAGACTTAATTTGCAAATCCCAGTGAATACATCATAGCATATAGAATCAGTTCATGCATGACAAGTCCCAAAAATCAAGAAAACTGCGATAGTTCAAACAACAACGGCTCAAGATTGACAAACGGTGATGCGAAATTATTGTAATAGTTTCAAACCTTCCCTCTCTCATTAATAATAATAAATTTAAAAAAAAAAATATATATATATATATATGCGAAATTGTAACGTTTGTCCGGGTTTTGGTGCTTGCAGTTTGGGAGTAGTGGCGTGTTGGTGGGTACATATTAACAACCCTAAACCCCCTTCCATAATCTACATGACAACTGCTTTACTATATTTGGACCGCATCTTAGTATAAATTGTGGCTGGACTAGAACCAATCAATCATTAGGTAAAAGGATCGGGATTCACGAAGCCAATAAATTATTTCCCTTAAATTAAAGAGATAGTTGTCGATTTGCCCTTTGAACTTGTATAAATGTGTCAATTTTCCTTCTAAACTATAATTTTAGCTGATTACCCCCTAAACTTTTATAATTAGCCAATTTCCCCCATGAACTTTAACTTTAGCCGATTACCCCATAATATATTATAAATAGACAATTTACCCCCCGGCGCTAGATTTAAAATTTTTCATCCATCCAATTTTCCATTTTTTTTTTTTGCCCCAATACATCGTCATGTGCTGTCCACATGATCAAAATAGATAAAAAATTGGATGGATGAAATTTTTTAAAATCTAGCGTCAAGGGGAAAATTGGATATTTATTAAAGTTCAATGGGTAATCGGTTAAAATTAAAGTTCAAGGGGAAATTGGCTAATTATAAAAGTTCAGGAAGGTAATCGGTTAAAATTAAAGTTCAAGAGAAATTGGCACCTCTATATAAGTCCGAGAGGTAAATTCCGTAATCAATGTTTTCAAAAAAAAATTGATAATCATTGATATATATATATATATATATATATATATATTTGACAATTAATCATTGTAGGGGTCTTTTGAAACGGATCCAATTGAACTAAAAATTGGACCTATTTCAAAAGTTAACATCACACAAAAATTAGACCTGTTTTAAAAGTAGGTTATAAAATTGGACTTATTTCAAATTATCCCATCATTGTATTATTTATACTTGGTCGTTGAGTGTGGAGGAAAATATGGATTCTAATGAAATCTCAGCCGTTCAAGTCCACTCATTGTTTCTCCATTTATGCTTGATTTTCTTTTTCTTGAAACAACCTGCAGAATAAAAAAAATGTGAACCTGGGTGCATTCAAGAGGGGTGAGCTAGGGCTGGCTGTAGATTTGAATAAATTAGAGAAAAAAAACAAAGTTTCAAAGCCAATCATACTGGTTTAATTGGTCGTATTAATTTCAAGAAAAAATTATGAGAATTAATTAAATTTTCTGTATGCATGTCAACACAAATCATGAGTTCGTCGTAACGTTCTTCGATCATAGAGAACATCAGCAAGCCCCTTAAAATTGACTAGTTAAACTCCAGAAGATGCATGCACCGCAAATCATGGTATTTATTCCGTGATCGAAGCAGTATATAAATATATTTTTTTCGTAAGATGAACGCAGTATATATTTTAACTAAACAAAACCGAACTCGTTTTGTTTTTCTGTTCTTGGAGTGTTCCTCTCGTCACTACAAAATCTAATTACGTACATAAAGTATGATTATATGGATTCGATTACGAAAGAGAGAGATGTTGAAGTAACCAATCAGCAAATGACATGCTAGGGTCTCCATGAGTGTTTGTTCCCCAGATTTTAATTAAAATAAAGCAAGTCACAAAGACCAGAAAATTTTGTGGGCAGAAAAGTGCAATGCAAGCTCAAGTAAGATATGTTAGGATATTACTATTTTTAATTAAATTTATCGTTAAATGTATCTAACGTAGGTAATCATTGTTGGTGAGATCAATATTGCCATTGTGATACTATGATTAATCATGCTTAGTTCAAAACTTAAAATGCCAAGTAATTAACTCAGGACCATTATTTATCAAAAAGCTGAGGTGTCAAGCATTGGCCCACACCCACCATAGCATGCCTAAGATACGAAGAATTTGTAGACTTTCGTAAAAGATGAGTAATCTGAACTTCATGTTCTTGATTTCAGTATCCTACTGTGAATGGAAACACTTTGAGAGTTTAAACTACTCTCTCTATCTCTCCTTGTTATACAAGGAGAGATAGAGCATTTCCAATCAATTGCTCATAAGTACAAGAGACCACAAGCTAGCTAGCTAAATAGGGTTACTTTTGTAATGGTATACGTAACTTACAACATGCGGTAGAGTTTTCAGTATGCGCAGAACACATGACAATACTCTATATGTTACTATAAAATTGGAGGGACAGTTGAAAAAAAAAATAAAAAATTCCTCTAATCATATAATGATATGTGGTGTACAACCCCATTCCGAACACAGTGAAAAATTTCTCCGTGGATTATATTTCAAGGTGGGTTTTATTCAAATACCATGTCATTGACTGGATGTAGACTAAAAGTTCCCATATAAAATCCCACACTTCTTTATAAACCCCACAAGCATCTCAAGCATTACCACTTCTCCTCCTCCACATAAGATGGCCAAACTTCAAACAAATCTACAGCAAGATTTAGTGAAACCCTACAATTCCAGAGAATATTATCCTCACAAAGCCAAAGGAATATCCTTCTTAGCCTTTTTCTTCTCTATACTTATTTATATTTGCATCTTCTATATTTTTAACCTCTCCCTCTCAACTCTCTTTAAGAACTCCAAGTTTTGGTTTGCCATATCCAACACCCTCATCCTCATCATCGCCGCCGACTACGGCGCATTCTCTTCGGCTTCCAAAGACCAACAAGACCAATGTTACCAAGAGTACATGATGCATAGCCAAGCTCGAAGTGCTTCCTCATTTGTTTCTCAATACCCTCAAATTGTCAACAAAAGCAGTCCAAGGCAATTAGAGGCGGGAAACAATATGAAAACAAAGATTGAAGAAGTAATCCTCGTAGCTCAAAATACAGAAGTTATCCAAGAAAAGAGGGTAATCCACGTATCAAAAGGCGATGATCAGAATAAAGGTTGTGGAACTGGCAGAGAAAATGTTCAGGCAAAAACTTATCAGCGAAGTAAGTCTGCAAAAGCGAAAGGAGGGATGATCAATGAGAGCAAGAACACTCTAAGGAGGTCAGAGACAACTGATCAGAAGCGCAAACGAACTGCTGATGAAGACAATGAATTTTCGACCATGTCGGATGAAGAACTGAACAGAAGAGTTGAAGAGTTTATTCAGAGGTTCAATAGACAAATTAGGCTTCAATCAGCAGCTACAACCTTCCCCTAAGTCTAGAAATTGTTCCATGCATATATGGAATATCAAAGAGAGTATAAGTAGATCTTCCAAAACTTTGCTGCCTTCTTTCTTCAACTTTTTTTTTTCTTTTTTCGTTCGTCTGTCAATATTCAATAATATGTAAATGCTTTGGACTTTAGTATGAATACATATATGTATTTACTTTTGGTCTCATATCTCTTGCTTCATACGTTTTTTATTTTTCTTTCTCTCACCACATGACTGTCCATGTAACCTTCTAATGAGATAAATAAAAACTGGTATGAAACAACGGACTTGTAAAAAAATACATCACTTGTTTTTATACCACTTCTCAATTGATATTACATCACTTGTTATATAACACTCATCAACTAATCACTGTGTTGGTAGTAAAAACATAACAAATTGCAACAGTAATTTTTTGTTTTGGAACATCAGAACGAGGGACGAGGGAAAAAATTGCAACAATTGTTAGTAAAGAGATTTTTCAGGGTGCTCAAAATACGAAGTGGTATACCACATGCTATTATATAATTAGTAGAATTTTTTTTTTCAAGTGTCCCTCTAATTTTACAATTACATGTGGTTTAGCACTCCGTGTTACGGATGGATCTCAAAAGATATGAAAAATCTCCCTCCAAACCGTACATACGACTTTCATTGAATACAATTCCACAAATATAAAAAATCTCTTTTCAAGCCGTACATACTGAAAAATCTCTCGGATTAGTATTTCACACCTTTGTGAATTGAGATGGCATGATTCTTACTCATCAGAGCACATTGTTAATCGAGAAAGACTAAGACATGATATGATTTACTGATCTTAATTTCATGAACTTTTGCCATGATAAGATCATAATGAACTGAGTTCGTCGGTTAGAATTTTATAATATTTCCTTCTTCTAAATCCATATTGTTTTTGACTTTATAAGCACCAAATCAAATAAGATCTCATCTTTACTCAGTTATATGCGTGTGGCGCCGCTCCCACTAATTTTCTGTCCGACCACTAACGGAAAGAAAAGAAAAGACAAAGCACATCAACAAATATGGATTTACTTTTCTTACTAGGTGCATGACAGTAAAGGTCACTCAAGTTTACCTTATGTTTAGTTTTCGTCTTTAAACTTTTATATTAGTTTCTTTTATTTTTTAACTTAGCATTGTATAAATAATCATTCTGTCAAATTTGCCTTTGTTTCCCATCAAATTGAAGGGTAAAGTGATTTTTTTATACAGAAAAAAAAATCCAACTTAATTTCCTTTTTTTTTTTAAAAGAAGAGCGTAGCTCCTTAAGATTAAGGTGCTTCTCAAAACACTTCGTGGCCTATTCATAAACTTTCATGTTTATGATCGGAATAAGTCAAGAGATATTTTAAGGAGGAGTTCCTCCTCAATCCTTGAGGAGCCAAGTCTTTCTCTTAAAAAATTTATTTTCTTATTTTTTGAATGAAATTACTATTTTATCCCTCACCTTAACGGAAAAGTTAACGGAGTTAACAAAAATTACTACTAGAGCAACAAATGACATAATTGGAGGACGTGAGAAATTATTAGTAGAGTTCAGGGAAGAAAATTAAATTTGTGGTATAGATTAAGGACTTTGTTACCATTTATAACTCTTTCTATAAAAAAATTTGTTATTGATTGGACATCATAGATTTGTGTTCATTTTCGGTCTACTGACACTTTGTCTGTGTTCCAATTGAGTACCACATGAGTTTAATTTCATTATCGACAATTGTTGAGTAAGAAAAAAATTGGATGAACTGAACAGATTTGCTTTTAAGAAGATTGATTTTGTCGCACAAAGGATCTCTTCCTTTTGCAACATTCCACAAGTTTTTCACAATCTAACTCCCTTTTCTGATATAATTTTCATTTAGCTTTGGTTACAACCACATGCAAATTATCCGTGACGAAGATTTTGTCATTCAAAGTTTTTAGCGACGAAGATTCCCATCAATGGAAGAAAAGAAATCAAGTCATGCAGTCTCCCACAGTCAGTTGCGCGACAAATTATTTTTCATTTGGAAATACTTTTTTAAGCGTAGTGGAAAAAAAAATATTAAATTTGCTAAAGTAGCTTCTATACGGTGGAAATCACGTTACCAAAGTTAAGTACGTATAAGTGATTGTAAATGAAGTTAATGAAATGACATTTTTTATGTTTTTTAAATTAAAGATATCCAAAGACATGCCGCTAACATGGGTGGTAATTATTATACAAAATTTTAGGTGTTGTTAGTGGACGAAGCAATCAAGTAACTAAAGGGTTTGAGTCACATCAGCTCCTGTAATTTTCAAGTAAATTATTGGACTGTTAAAATAAGAGTTCAAATTTTCTGCACTTACTTTGTTTGTTTGTACGTGACGTGTGCGTCGGAGTTCAAATATTCCTATATGTTCGTGTCTCTATCAACTTTTGGCCCGGATATGTATGCCATGTGCTAACCCACACAATAATAGTTTGTTTTGATTTTGTCAAAGTTTCAACCATGATTTGATTTTTTTTTTTTTAACAAACGATATTACCTACACTAAAGGGTTAGGGGTGGGTTAAGCTTCACAATGAGCGACTAGTGAAGTGAAATATCACTAGAGCGTAGTACTTTTGCTCAACCATAATTTGAATTAAAATTGAACAAAATATGGTCTAGTAGAAATCGAACCCGATCCGTTATAGAATAGTGGCTTGTGGCCAGTTTGAGTATGAAACTGATCAAAACTAATTTGTTTAAAAGAAAAATCTATATTAGTGATGGATTGCCTTGATTGTTAAGATGTTCATCTACAATTTATTATACGTCCGGTCAAACCCTCCCCGTCCTCTTAATCTGTATACACAAAGAGAGTGGCAAATTTTGGTATATCATTCAATCTACCAAAAACTGCTCCTCCCTAATTAGAATTTTCAATATAAAACAATTTAACTCTTAAGGATCACAAAATGACATCGTTTCGTTTATTTCTTTAATTTTTTAAACAACAAAATATAAAAACATATCTTAAATGAAAACAAAGAAAATAACATACAAAAGAGCAAGAGTGAGGATCCTGGAGATTCTCAAATCGTGTTCGTTCATCATACATCGTGCAGCTAGAAATCATTTTAAATATTTTTATTTTAAATTAAATATAAAGTAATGGAAGAAAATTGACCGCATGATATACAATAAATGGACACGATTTGAGAATCTCCAAGATCCTCATAAAAAAGATCCGGAGAGGATCCTCTTGGAAAGAGCAAATTGTCACAAGAGGCTAGTAATTTTGATCATACAAAAAGGCCCAATTAAGAGTCGGCCCAAATTGAGAACAAAATCCAATCCGGCCCATTGAAAAAGAAAAGCACAAAGATTCAATCTCCATTGTTAGAGGTAAATAAAGCTCAAAATTCAGTTAAAATTCCCGGGAAAGAACAACAAAAATGGTGGTGGTGTTGGGTTCTCTTAGCCAAATCAAGCCCTCTCCAATACCAACCAACTCTTCTTCTTCTTCTTCTTCCTCAAACCCCTCACGCAATTCACAGAAGAACAAAATTCTCACCAGGAGAAGAGCCATGGTGCTTGCCCCAAGCCTTGTGGCCGCTTCCTTGCTCCATTTCTGTAACCCCATTTCCCCACAACCTTCATCTCGCCTTGCACTCGCTCTGCAGGATGAGCTTCAGCAAGACGAAGACCGCGCCGTCAATCTCTTCCAGGTCTCACTCTTTCACTAAATTGACAATTTTTTGTAATGTGTTGACTTTTGTGTCACTTTTTTTGCCCGTTGATTTGAATGTGGGTCATGGAATTAAGCTTGATTCTGTAGTTTTTGCTAATTTTGTTTGACCCTTTTGGTTGTTTATGCGGTTGGTTGAAAAAAGATGAAAACTTGAATGGAATAATTGTTGAAAGTATGAAGAAATTGGAATTTAGTCACTGAATTGTTACCTTTTTCTTGTCTGTTAATTTCTGCATCATCTGCTGCTCAAAATTCCTAAAGATTTTAGTTTTATCGCCCTCGAATGCGCCTTTTTAGCAATGGCACTGTCGTGCAATCGTTCAACCTTCATTTTTCTGTGACCCATGTCTCTTTCTGATGTGATTAATTGGAAGTGTTATCATCAATATTGGTAGATTTTCTGAAATCAGTTCGAAAGCCTTAGATTTGTTGCCCGAATCTCTGGGATTTGCTTAAGGTGGGTCTTATGGTTGTTTGTTTATCAGTTTGCTGCTCAGGAAACTTTATTCAAACGGTGGAGCGAATGATTTGTATATAAACTAGAAATTCACACTGATGAAATACCTATGAATAAGATTTGGATTGGTTCGAAAACCCGTTCCTTCCAAACAAATCGAGCTCTATGGTTTATAGTCATTCCTTCTCAAAATTGCTTCCACGTAAACCAAACTCTATGTTATGCTTCTACATGTGCATGTTATTAACCTCACCTCAGTGAATTGTTATTTTGTCATGGTAAGATTTTCAGAGAACTTGTAGGTGAATCTATTACTAACCTCATCTTAATGAACTGGCGATTTAAAACATATGGTTTCTTTATTCTCATTCTTCACCAATTGTGAAATGTGATTGCAGGAAACTTCTCCATCAGTTGTTTTTATTAAAGACCTTGAAATAGACAAAAGCCTCAAGGCCTCTTTTGATGTTGTCTCGCAAAGCGGAGATGAAAATTCCAAAGTTGAAGGAACAGGTTCAGGCTTCATTTGGGATAAGTTTGGTCACATTGTAAGCTTACCTGTTTTCTGCTTCTCTGCGTGAACTTAACTTTAGATGCTATGACTGGGCGAGTTCTTTTTCATCATTTCTCTTACAATCTGATGGGTATTCATAATATCTGTTTAACAACTTGCCTCAGTTTGCAGTCATAATGCTTGTATTTTCGTCTGTCAATTGCCCTTTGTTAGCTTAGTTTTTCTAAGGTCGTTCCAGCAACGTTTTAGCAGGTTTTATATACATATGCAGCTGTGCTTTATTTTTGGACCTAAAAGACAGATTTTGTTGTACCTTGTAAGTTTGTAGTTTTGTAGTATCTAGTGGTTTGCATCTTCTCCCAGATAATTAGGTATTATCTTTTTAGTTTATGGATGTTTACTTTCCTGGTACTAAAGCCAGTCAATCCTTTGTGGCTCCAGGTCACAAATTACCATGTTATAGCTAAATTGGCTACAGATCAAAGCGGATTACAGCGTTGTAAGGTTTTGTCCTTTTATTCGATTTAAAATCTTTGTCATATTTTTAAGTTCTTGTTCCGAACATAATTGAATGGTTTATTTTGGAGTTCAAGTCATTCGTTTGAATTTCAAAGTTTCTTTGGCACCCTTCTTCATAGGTTTACCTTGTGGACGCAAGAGGCAATGGTTTTTACAGTGAAGGAAAGATTGTTGGTGTCGATCCAACCTATGATTTAGCTGTTCTTAAGGTATTCAGCAAAACTCACCAATTTTATTCTCTTGGCGTTGGTCTTACTTCCTTATTGTAATATGCATACTAAGCGTTCAGCCACTCTTTTGCAACCAAAGTCATGTTTAAGAAATTTCCATGAGGTATGGTATGGTATGATGCATGTGATAACGATAAAGCTTTTTATCGATCTCAATCTCGTTTCATAAAATCATGTAAACTAATGCACCATGCGCATTCATTTTGTGCATAAACTATCAAGTACATGTGAAGTGTTGATGATACTTAGCTTAATACCATGTGCAGGTTGATGTTCAAGGACATGAGTTAAAACCTGCTGTTCTTGGTACATCTAACGATTTACATGTCGGTCAGAGCTGCTTTGCCATTGGAAATCCTTATGGATACGAGAACACACTAACAATAGGGGTAACTTTTCTACTGTCACTACTCCGCCCTTAGATTTTTCGGTCTGTTTAATGTTTTTCATCAATTTCTGCCAACCGTGTTATGGCCTGATGGGTTCTTTGGATATCACAGGTGGTCAGTGGCTTAGGGAGGGAGATACCCTCACCAGATGGAAAGGCCATCAGAGGAGCTATTCAAACGGACGCTGCCATTAACTCTGGTAAAAAATTTCGTTTTCCATAAGCTTTCACCCTTCTTCTTAACATAATCGTGTTCTTATGAGTACGATCAAATTGCAGTTTCACCGTGTACTTAATTCTAGTAATACAACCATCGATTTGATTTAGTTAGTTGATAATGCATCAGACTGCTGAAGTTCATTGCCTGCAAGTTATGTTTAACCTACTGCTAGTTACTGTAGGGTAAAGAAAACGTCTTTCCTGTTTTCATCCGAAAACACAGCCGAAGCTTTCCAAACTTTGCAAACCTGCTCATTTTCGTCCACAGACAATAGATGATCATTGACGACTTATGTTTCCCTTTTATTTTCGGTTCCTTCTGCTTGAAACCGTTGGTCGACCTTGCTCTTGAAGTGTTTGCACATGTAAATTCAAGGTTTACAACCTTCAATGGTGGAATTTTTGCAGGGAATTCAGGAGGGCCGTTAATTGATTCGCATGGCCATATTATCGGAGTTAACACAGCAACTTTCACTCGCAAAGGTAATCGTTAAGCTTGTTCCTCGGCACCAAACTAGGAAGAGATCTAGAAACCAAGTTGTGTTGCCCGGAAGCTGGAACTCGGACTTCGTTAAGACTTCCAAATGCTTACATTATCTCTGTTTATATTGCAGGGACAGGAGCATCGTCCGGAGTTAACTTTGCAATACCGATTGACACTGTCGTGCGAACTGTGCCGTATCTTATTGTATATGGAACACCGTACCGCGACAGATTTTGATCAAACCTTACCGTTGTACCTAACAAATATGTATAAGATTTCACAGAACAAATCGAATGTCTATACGAATATTAATTTTTATGTAAATTTGTTCATGATTATTCAAAATGCAGCCTCAGATTAACAAAAAGCAGACATCACCAGACATTAGAATGCTTCATGCCAATCTGTTCAAGAAATTCTCCACGAAAACATCGATCTTCGAAGAAAATCGAATTCATACAAGGATTGCCTAGCCACACATACAATGCAAGTTCTAAGCAAAACAGTTTCTATCATTTATAAAATCGAACCCGTGTTCGCACACCGCAGATCAGAGTAGTTTCGAATATCGTCTTGTCAAAGACGTGAATACAAACATCATCGTACAAAACCATATTGTGTAAAAACATGTTTGGTTCTAGAAGGAAAGCAGAGACAATTGTTCTTCGACAGAGCAGCCAACGTGACAAGAAGCACGGCAAGAAGAAGGGATTAGAATCAGACCGAGGCACCGCTGCTCCATCGGAGACGGGGAGGACCGCCGCGTGCTCCGATACTCCACTGCGTCCTGGAGTATGATGTTGCCTTGCTTGTCGATGCAGTGAAAGGTGCCCAAGAAAAACCGGCCGTCTCTTATCCCAACTAGCATTCGCCGGAACAGCAGCCTCCTGGCGCGGTTCACTGACGCCGGCTCCGACCCATCTGACCTCGCAGCCTGAATTAGCGTTTCCGCCGCTTCTTGTTCCATGTTCTTCCTATTCGGTCTGAATATGATCGAATTCGTATCGGCCACTGCTGCTGGGGAAAGCAATGAGGAGAGAACTGGTCCAATGGCTTAATTGGTAGAAAAAACTTTCAAGTTTTAATGAAAAATGGCAAAAAATGTCGTGAATAGTATTAGGTTTGATTTTTAGGGTAAAAATTTAGTTTTTCGTTAAAATAATCAGTATTGGATCTTTTTGTTAAAATTCCTTTAATTGTTCTCACTATTTATTTATTGGGCTCTGGGGCCACTTAGATTTAGAAAACAATAGAAAATTGTAAAAATAATATCTCAACTTTAATTTAATTGGGATAATGATCACTGAATTGAAAATTTATAATTATTGGTTTTTAACTCATCAAAACGTATATCTATAATCATTTTCGTTAAATGTGTCAGAATTCAGTCAAAATAAGTTATGTTTGAAGGACTATTGCTATAAATGAGTTATGTTTGAAGGATTATTATCATAATTGAGTTAAAATTAAGAGATCACTGCTCTAATTGAATTAAAGTTAACGAATCATTTCTCCAATTGTGTTAAAAGTAAACAACCATTGCTATAATTTTTTCATTTTTTTCCATATTTGCTCATTGATTCAGCCTCACGTGCGTAACAAGTTACTCATTTTGATAGAAGTCCTGATAAAGTTGACGAAAATGATCATAAGTGCACGTTCTGATTAAATTTTTAATTGAGAGACTATTACATTAATTAAATTAAAGTTGATAGTCATTGCTACAATTTTCTCAAAAATTAACAATAAAAAAAAATTAATGAAAATGATTTAGCATCAAAATTAATTTTTTAAAGTATAAAAATATGATTTTTTTCGTGAAAGTAAACAATACCGAAAACAAAGTAACCGTTCCTTCCTGCGTCATATATTCGACTGCAAGTAGGACAATAAGGTAAAAAAACCTAGGAACTCGACTGATTCACAGACCCAATAGTTTCCGGAGCTCTCCGTATCCGACTGATTACAACAGGTGAGTTTTCGACTAGGGTTTTACCCATTCGCCTCAGAAGCTTTGATTATCTGATTTTCTCCAAAGGTTTTTCCTTTGCGCTGCAAATAAACCCTACTTTGTTAATTGAAGAAAACCCCTTTTTTTTCTGTTTCTTTTGGTACAAAGATTGCCAAAGGGAAGGCAATCCAATGTTATTTGAATCAAATTTTGTTCTTTCTTTTATCTTCTTATTGCTTTTCTGTTGTAATTTTGGGGAGTGCCCAGTTGTTGAATTTTTTTTATTCTGGTGTGGTTTTAGGAGGAAAACCAATCCAGAGGAAGAATGGGGGAGACGGGTAAGCGGTATCGGTCGCAGAGAGACCACGATGGGGGAAACAAGAACCAAAAGAGACGATTCAATGACCGAGACGAAAAGGGTAGTGATGAATTGGTGGTTTATAGGATTCTATGCCCTGATGGGGTTATTGGGAGTGTTATTGGCAAGAGTGGGAAAGTGATCAACTTGATCCGGCAAGATACTAGAGCGAAAATCAAGGTTGTGGATCCGTTTCCGGGTGCGAAAGATAGGGTTATAACTATTTATAGCTATGTTAAGGATAAGGAAGAGGTTGAGGTTGATGATGAGTTCAGTGATAGGGAACCTTTGTGTGCTGCCCAGGATGCTCTTCTCAGAGTTCATTCTGCGATTTCAAATGCATTGGCTAGTGTTGGGGATTCGGATAAGAGACGGAGGGATAGTAGGGAAGACTGCCAAATTCTTGTTCCTTCTAGCCAGTCTGCAAATATTATTGGAAAGGCGGGGTCGACTATAAAGAAACTGAGGAGCAAGACGAGGACCAACATCAAGGTTGTTGCAAAAGATGCCACTGACCCAACACATTCGTGCGCTATGGACTTTGACAATTTTCTTATGGTTAGTATTTGTTATTAAATAAGAATAATTACTCAATGATTCGGTTTTGCTTTTCCAAGTAGGCATTTTCGTTCTTGTTTTCGAAGATTGGGTTATCAGTACAGTAGCTCGATAGTTCATATTTGATGCCTTGCCTTGGTTCAGAATCGTTTTCATTTTTCTTGTATATGAAGTATTTTGGGTATGTTTACACTCTCATTGTAGCCATACAATAGTCGGGAATGAACAGGCTAGGCACTCTACACCGTTACAAAATGTTAATACGAAGTTCCTGAATTGTTGTGTTAAATGGACCTTCTTTGTGCATAAAATGTAATATGTTTACATGCTTGCAAATTTTGCTACAGATGTTTAACTTTTCTGTTTGGTTAACTTCTTGACCGGTAATATTTTCTGTTAAGAGTTCATTTCCCTTTGCAAACAGATAAATGGAGAATCAGAAGCAGTTAAAAGAGCATTATTTGCAGTTTCTGCAATTATGTACAAGTTTGCTCCGAAGGAAGAGATTTCTCTTGAGACATCAGTACCAATGGCCCCACCAAGTATTATTATCCCATCAGATGTCCCTATTTATCAACCAGGTGGACTATATCAAAGTGGAGATCCTATTGTCTCTTCTAGATCTGTACCTCCAATCATAGGTGCTACACATTTACAGGATCTTCAGGGTTACACGGATACAGGGAATACATGGCCCCTGTATTCATCTGCCCTTCCTTTAGTTTCTGGTTTTGGCGTTGCCTCCCGATCTGAGGAGTTAATTGTGCGAGTACTGTGTCCCTTTGACAAGATTGGTCGCGTAATTGGCAAAGGTGGGGGCACCATTAAAAGCATAAGGCAGGGGAGTGGTGCTCGTATTGAGGTTGATGATACCAAGGACCGTGATGAGTGTATAATTAGTGTTACTGCAACAGAGGTATGACCATGATAGTATACTATTACTATTACTGCAATAGAAGTATGACCGTGATGGTATACTGACTCTTTATGTTTTGGTAGACTTATCAAGAACAAAATTTGGGAAGAGCTCGGTATAAATGCATTTTCCACTAAGGGTTCAGTATTTCTTTATGTTTTGTTATGCATCTGCATAGTATTTTATAGGCTAAAATAACCTAGAATATTCTATCAAATCCAGTATTTTGCTTCTGTTGCTGGTTTATGCCGACATCAGCAATTCCAGGATCTTTCTCTGGGCATGAGCTCATGTTTATTAACCATTACAATGTAAAAAATATAGATTTCATTACGAGAAAGACTTATTATAATCCATCCTCAACTTTTAAACTTAAATGTCAACATTGTGTTGGGTGATTAAATTGTGAATAATCTTTACTAGTATTTTTCTATGGGTCTCACAACAGCGCTCGGCATTCATCTCCTTGAACATGTTGATCATGTTGGGTTTCTTTTTTGGCAGTCACCCGATGATCTAAAATCTATGGCAGTGGAAGCTGTTCTTTTGCTGCAAGGGAAGATAAATGATGAAGATGATGACTCTGTCTCCATTCGACTTCTTGTTCCATCTAAAGTTATTGGTTGCATTATTGGAAAAAGTGGTTCCATTATAAATGAAATCCGAAAGAGAACAAAAGCTGACGTCCGTATTTCAAAAGTTGATAAGCCTAGGGGTGCTGATGCTAATGATGAACTTGTTGGGGTTGGTTCTACATAAATATTTAACCATTGCGATCCAATTTTTTCTTGTTGATCACCTCTTTCTCATTTCTTTTTTCCTTATATAGGTGGCAGGAGATCCCAGTAGTTTGAGGGATGCGCTTATTCAGATTGTTCTAAGACTCCGAGATGATGTCTTGAAAGATAGAGATGATGGTCTTAACACCTCTGGTGGTGCTGAATCTCTGTACTCGGGTGGCACTGGTCTCTCGATGCCACCTGTCCTGCCTTCTGTCCCCCCAGTTACTTCGATGGGTTATGATCAGAGGGCTGAAAGTGGAAGTGGCTTGGGCCTGCTTTCTTCTGGTAGCCTCTATGGATATGGATCTGTGTCGGTATGTCCATTTAACTAAGTTATTTTGGAGCTGAATAAACTTTAAATAAACCTCTGATACTACTTGTTATATATATTTTCTTTTCCTTTAGATGGGAGAAAATGGCTATGGATCCATGTCTTCGTATCCATCCAAGCTATATGGAGGGTCAGCGTATGTAGTTTTGCCTATCTTGCTGTGAAGCTTGTCTTTTTCAGTTTCTATTCATCCTTAGATTGCTTTTCAATAACATTATGCAGGTTGCCACCCCCTTCAACACTTGAGATGCTAGTTCCTGCGAATGCAGTGGGTAAAGTGATGGGCAAAGGCGGGGCAAATATAGCCAATATTCGGAAGGTAGGAGGATCTTTCCTTTTGTATCTGTATCTACTGCTTGATTATTGTGTAGAGATGGATCAACACGAAAAGTCTAGCTAGTTTTTGCCTGAACTTGTAGGCTTTGTGTGTTTGAATGTCATTCTCATTCATATTTGTGTCTTTTCCAGATATCGGGAGCAATGGTAGAGATCTCTGAGTCCAAATCTTCCCGGGGTGATCGTGTTGCACATATATCTGGCACACCTGAACAGAAGCGTACAGCTGAGAACTTGATTAAGGCATTTATAATGGCCCCCTAACTTTTCAGGCTGCTTCTTGCTGTTCAAAGGTGAATAGTCCTTTAAGTTAATATGTCTGGTGCGTACAGCAGAGAATTTTGAACATTTCTCCCTCATGTTTCCTCTCCTAGTTCTTTAGATTTGGTTCTGGAGAAGGCTTCTTTCCTAGGCTTATTCAACTCGACCCTTCCTGATTCTCTCACTCAAGCCGGTATTGAGACTCTGCCAGAGGATTCACTGCGGGGTTTATGATTAGGCATGTAGCCCCATCTTTGTCGCCAAATCTATTCTTATCTACAATATTAGTTCCTTTCTTTCTTGTCGCGTCGCTTCATCTGGTCTTATCTTCACTAGTATAGAGTTCGTCTAATTTTCGGTACTGTCACTCTATATTCTATGAATTGATGTTCATGCCAGAAGATTATTCGGTAATGACCATAATTTTCGATCTTATAGTATATGCTTGTTATTTCTCTGGCCATCCAACTCATGCTCTCAGCTTCTTGCTCGAAGCATCTTCTAATCAATTGTGTGAGTGAAATGCTATTCGTAATGATCTCTTCTTTGTGCTGTTCTTTTTAACTTACATGCGTAC